GGAGGTTTAATTCACAAAATCATTTTCCTTTCTGCAGTGACTGTCCTACAATTGTGTTAACCCTTCCTGTCTCACTAGCTATTCAGCACCATAATGACATCCTGTTGAAATTCTAATATATTTCATCAATTTCTACTCTCAGAAAAGTCTTTTTGCAGTCTCATTGCTAATTATTGCAGTCTCATTGCTAATTATAACAACATTCAGAGCCGCATGTCCCTGTCTCCAATTCAAGCTGCATCTGTCCAGCTGTGAGCAGCTGGGTGGAGCCAGCAGAAGCCTACTCCTCAAGCCCTACCCTCTTCCCTCACTTGCTTCACTCCAGTTAAGTCCCTTACAGAGCCTTGCTTCTGGTTTCAGGTTTATAAAGGAGGCAGAGGACACACATCTGTTGACATAGGACCTCCATTCAGCTTGGCTCCACCTGTGATTATGGACACCTGCTAGTACAGTGTATCCAGCTGGAATTGTCAAAATGCAAATGTCCAGAATCCAAGAGAGGTAGCTGGAAATTTCTGCCCCTCACCCTTTCTGGAGAAGGCATCTGTCCTGTGGCCACGTGGGAAGCCTCAGAGCTCCACCTTCCCTCCAACCTCTGCTGCTCTGCAAGAAGGCTAAGTAGTCATTCTGCTGCACCCCCGGGAGTTGAGACCTGAAATGGGGTGGGGACAGCCACGACTTCTCCCCACTTGGTGGGGCTACTCCTCAGAAATCTCTTCCCATCAGTTTTCATGGCCTGAGGGACACCCACCAAGGGCCCTCTGCTTCTCCCCTGTACTAGAGGGACTATAAAGGACCACAGGCTGTCTCTTGGGCTCCATAAAATCAGACCAAGTCTTCCCTATACATGTGATGGGACAAGGACAGTGGTTGGCCCTCCTGAGGTGGTGCCTCTTGATGAGTCTGTCCCAACTCCTCTGGCCACATGAAATTAAAATGTGGGGTGCCTCACCTTTTTTGTCCTCAGTCTTGATTCCCAAATAAGGAGGAAAAATTCTTGTTATCCTGTCATGTGCTGTTATAAGAGATAGACCTAAAAACTAAGGATACAAAATACTTCACAGTTAGTAATGGGATGGTGCAGGTGCCGGGTGGAGCAGCAAACCCGCCACACTAGCCAAAAGAAAGGTAGAGCACTAATGACTGGACAAGCAGGCTCTAATGCCAAAACACCACCCAGTTAAAAGGGTCATCTTTTTGAGAAAGAGAAAATATTATAAGTATCTAATAACATGACCTCGAAAAAAATAAAACTGGCTGAATTAAGAGGGGGGAAAAATGAAAAGAGGAAGATTTTCAAATACCTCTCACTAATTGATCAAACTACCAGAAATTAGTAAGGATATAAAAAATTTGAAGGGCATACATTTAACTAGTATTATCCAAATCAATTTTATGTTGTTTTCAAGTATTTACAAAAACTGGCTGTGAAAATTCCAAATAATCCATTTTATTCAGACTACCTTTTAAAATCACAATGTGATAAAATTAGAACTAAATAATAAAATGACACACGAAATACAAAATGTTTTATTTACTTTTGGTACTAGGGATTGAACTCAGGGGCACTTAATGAACCACATCTTTTTAATTTTTATATTGAGACAGGTCTTGCTATGTTGGTAAGGCTGGCCTCAAACTTGCGATCCTCCCTTCTTAGCCTCCCAAATTGCTGGAATTATAGGAGTATGCCACTACACCTGGCTATACAAAATGTTTTTAAAAGAGAATGATCATTTAATGAAGAAAATATAAAACAACACTGTTTTTTGAGGCAAACCCTACTATCTAGCCAATTACAGAATATTTATCTAGCATTAATGTGTAAATATGCAGTTGATAATCTTGAGAGGGAAAATACACCAAGAGTATACACAGCCATAGAAGTAAATTCATATTAAACATAGCACTCTATGAAATGAAACCCTGAGCAGTAGAGAAAAACCAAGCTGCTAAAAGTCGGGACACATGGCTGAGTCTCAAACACTATGTGTAGGCCAGAAGACGTCACCCATTTACAAGAAGGCAGGAGCAACCTACATGAAGAACACAGATTCACATATGCACATGGACTCACAGGTGGGGAAGGAACAGGAAGGAACTTTCTTGAGTGATGAAATGTTTTAGGTCTTGGTTGTCCATGCGGATTACAAAACTACATTTGCCAAAGCTAGATGACCTATAAATTTGAGATTAGTACACTGAACTGCATATAAATAATACTTTGATTAAAAATTTTAAAATTTTGTGCAATACTCAACCAGGCACAGTGGCACACACCTGTAATCCCAGTGGCTTGGAGGATGAGGTAGGAAGATCGCAAGTTCAAAGCCAGCCTCAACAATTTAAAAAATTTGAAGGGCACTTAGCAATGCCCTTGAGTCCCGACTTTCAGCAGCTTGGTTTTTCTCTACTGCTCAGGGTTTCATTTCATAGAGTGCTATGTTTAATATGAATTTACTTCTATGGCTGTGTATACTCTTGGTAAATTTTCCCTCTCAAATTATCAACTGCATATTTACACATTAATGCTACATAAATATTCTGTAACTGAGTGGAATTTTTTGTTATGAATTTATCATAGTAGGGTTTGCCTCAAAAAACAGTGTTGTTCTATATTTTATTCATTAAGTTATCATTCTCTTTCAAAAACATTTTGTATAGCCAGGCATGGTGGCACACACCTATAATTCCAGCAACTTGGGAGCCTAAGAAGGGAGGATTACAAGTTTGAGGCCAGCCTTAGCAACTCAATAACTTAGCAAAAAAGGCAGGACACGTGGCTCATGGCTCAGTGGTTCAGCATCCCTCAGTTCAATCACCAGTTCCTCACACGTGTGAGACACTGGGTTCGATCCTCAGCACTACATACAAAATACATAAATAAATAAAATAAAGGCATTGTGTCCATCTACAACTAAAAAAATATATATTTTTTAAAAACTGTGCAACAATTACTGTGAAAAATATTAAGACATGAGGGAAACTGGGAAAAGATGTTTGCCATGTGTACAACCCACAATGTCTTGTGGAAATTATGACACGTTTAGTAGTGCCCCTTTGTCCACAGGGGATGCACTCCAGGGCTCCCAGAGGAAACCTGAAACCTCAGATAGTACTGAACCACACACAGTTGTGCCTCAGAACTCAAGGGCTTTGGTTCCAGGACCTTGCTGCGATTCCAGAACCCAAGAATGTTCAAGCCCTTCCTAAGAAATGGAGTAGTGTTTGTGAAGAATCCAGGCACACCCTCCTGTAAACTTTAAATCATCTCTAGATTACTTGTGGTACATAATACAATGTAAATACTCTATGAACAGTTGTTGTACATTATTGTTTAGGTGATGATGATAAGGAAAAAAGTCTGTACATGGTAGGTATAGATGCGATTTTTAAAGAACATTTCCTGAGATTAGTTGAATTTGTGGATACAGAACCATGGATACAATTATGTATATACTATTTTCCTAATCATGCACACACAACTGTGATAAATTTTAATTTATAAATTAGGTATATTAAGATATTAACAACAATAATAAAATAAGCAATGATAACAACATATTTTAATAAAATTGCCAGCCTCACTACTCCAGCACTTTGAGGTCATTACTAAATAAAATAAAGATTATTTGAACAAAGCACTGCAATACCACAGTCGAACTGATAGAGGGCTACCAAGTGCCTAAAGGGTGAATAGTGTATACAGTGTGGATACACTGGACAAAGGGATGATTAGGGTCCTGCATGGGATGCATCTCTTCACACTACCCAGAATGGTGTGCAATTTAACTTGGCAACTGTTTATTTCTGAAATTTTCCACTTAATATTTTCAGCCACAGTTCACCATAAGTAACTGAAACTACAGATGGTGGCAGGGACTACAGTTGGCCTCTGTATTCAAGGGTCCCGCATCTGTGAATTCAACCACCCTAAGGCAAAATATTTGGGGGGAAACTTATGCTTGCAATGAACTTGTATAGACATTTTTTATTGTCTTATCCCCTAAATAATACTATGTAACTATTTATACGACATTCATATTGTTTTAGGATCATAAGTAATCTAGTATTGATTTAAAATATATAGCAAGATTGTATACATTATATTCAAATATTATGCTATCTTATATAAGGGATTTAAATATCTGCAGATTTGGGGATCCTCCATGAGTCCTGGAACCAGTCTCCCATAAGATACCAAGGAACAATTGTATAAACCTACAATGTGTGCTAACAATAGCACAAAAAGATGGTAAGGATGACCTATTGTGAGGTTATCACACCAGATGTAAAGTACACTGTTAAAAACTAAGGATACATATATTGTAAAACTTAGGGCAGTCATTTAGAGATGTAATAATAAGTGTACTGTAACTTTAAAAAGTAGAATATTTACATAAAAATAGACTTACTCAAAAATAGCCTCAAAACTGGCCCCCTCAAAATGGAGAAAAAAGTATTATTAAACACTTGGAACCCACAGAAAATAACTAGCAAGGTGGTAGATTTAAGTGCAATCATATCTGTGGAGGAATAACTTCTAATGTTCTAGAACTGAATAGGATAACTATGGTGGACAACCACAGTTAATTGAACATTTCAAAATAGCCAGTAGAGAGGAGTTTAAATGTTCCCAACACAAAGAAACAATCAAGATCTGATCATTACACATTGTCTACATATATAGAAATGTCACACTATACCCTACGAATATGCACAATTACTATGTGTCAATTAAAAACAAAAGTATATTTTAAAAAATAAATGAAATAATATCAGCAATTATCTCCACCACTCGACCAGCACGCTGGTTTCATTAAAGAGGTTCACAGCATAGAAGTTAACTAGTGAGATCCAAATAAACACACAGACTCAATTACCTTTTTCTATGACCAGGTCCGAGAGGGCTCTCCCCTCTGGCTCCTGCCTCAAGCCACCTGGTGGAGCAGCAAGGCTTACTCAGGGCTAGCAGGAGAGAGAGAGAGAGAGAGAGCAGCCAGGGAGTAGCCTTTTATTGGGGAACAAGAAATTCAGGGGAAAACTCCATCCAATGAAGGTCGAGGGGGGCAGCACTCCAAGGTCAGAGTCAATGATTGGTCTCAGGGTCAATGGTCAGTCACACCCCCAACATGGACAGGCTCTTGCACCTGGAGAGGGTGGGGATTAGCTCCCACACAGTTTGGCCAGAACCCCTCACACCCAATCAGGGAGGTGCCCAATCATGTGCAAGAATGGCTTCCCACAATTATCTTCAATGTTCAGTGATGGGATTAATGCCCAGATTATACTGTTTACAAAACCTCTATAAACCAGTAAGACAAAAGCCTTACAAGAGAAAAAGGCAAAGGATGTGAAGAACAAATTCACAGAGGAAGAAAATGTCAGTAGCATAAATATGAAAATGTTCAATTTCTTTGATGGGGAAATACAACTATAAATGCAAATTAAAATAACGAGTTATCAGGCTAGGGTTGTGGCTCAGCGGTAGATTGCTTGCCTAGCACATGCAAAGCCCTGGATTCAATCCTTAGCCACATAAAAATAAATAAAAAAATAAAGGTATTATGTCCAACTACAACTAAAAAATAATATTTAAAAAATAAATAAATAAATAATGCGTTACCAGTTCCTACTCCTTAAATTGGGAAATGATCTAAGTCCCTCATCACTAAGAGTTGGCAAGGACCAGAAAACAGATCATGTATTACTGTGGGAGCTACCTCCTGTGAGCCCTCTGGGAAGACTGGGAAAGCTGAAGGTGCTCCTGTCACCCGGTAATCCATGTCTAGGTCCCTCTCCGGAGTGAGATGTGTGCAGAAGTTCCTGGCGGCAGGTTTGTCTTCCTTCCCCTCAGGGGAAACAGGAGTTTTAAGTACTCAGTGAAATACTATATAGTGGTTAAAATGAAAGAACCAGATAGGCTTGGTTAAACATGACTCTGTCTCCAAAACACGATGATCCACACACAAAAAGAGCAAGTTGCAACAAGATATGGACTGATTGATATAATTCACCTAAAATCTTAAAACATCAAAACCAGTAGCATGCAACTGTGGATGCACCCGTGACAGGAAATGCATAAAGCCACGGTGTGGTGGGAGGGGACCGGAGCCGGTGGCCTTGCCTTATCAGTATCCATAACTTTCCGTTTTTAGAGACGCTCTGCTCTGAGCCGTGGCCTGGGGCCGTCTGCTCCCATGGCCCTCCAGGCCAGCTCCACGCCTGACCTCCCAGGGGTTCGTGAGGGGGGCACACGCTCTGCCCCTTCTTCCCTTGCGCGGTCCAGAGGGGATTCACCGCCGGGAACCGGGCACCTGCTAATGCCCCCCTCCCCCTGCCCCATTTCACCCCCCGTCCCTGCCCCACTCGGCTCCCAATAAACGTCGCTAAGTGAGCCTGTCCAGCAAGGCCAGGGAAGCTCGGCCACTCCTTTGGGGACCCTCTCGGCTAGAAAGCACTCACAGGAGGGACGGAAACGTCACTCGGGGTCACTCCCTCGCGGCCTCAGTTTCCTCCCGAGTGCCCCGTCTGGCCCCTTGCAGGCCGGCGCCCGAGGACTGGAGGAATTCGCTCCCCTCGTGTGGAAAACCACCCTCGGGCGCTGCACAAAAGCACCCACCCGCTCGCCACCCCGGGAACCGCAGCCCGCTGCCCTGGGACCCGGGCTGCACCGCGCTGGTCACATGAACTCGGGGCTTTCTCTGGTGTGACGGCTTCCTCAGATCCCTTTGTGCGCGCAGGTTTTGAAAGGGAACGGCCCGGGTCCTGGGTGTGAGGGGAGCGGGAGCCGGCGGGAGGAAGGCTGTCGGAGCCAATCGACCCGCCTCCAGACCCCAGCACGTCGCCGGGACTGCGCGCTCCGAATTCCG